TTTATGAAAAATAGCTGTATTTTTCTAAGAAAAATCTTAGAAAAGTGACGTTGTTTTACATATTTGCAAATCTTTTTAATATCTGGCTTAATAGAACTGGGTTCTTATGCAGTCTGTTATCATATGTTGATCGGATTAAAGTACACGAAGAACATCCATCCTCTCAGAGAAAGTCACGTTGGGAAAGGGAGAAGTATTTTAAGACCTTTTCGGAGAATTATAGATATTCTTCTTGGTTACTGTACCAAACCTTGACAAGTAGTAGTTTTCCTAAAGGCTAACTATAATGTGGGATATAAAATCTTAAGACCTTGGCCAGGTGCAATAGCTCACACCTGTAATTGCGGCACTTTGGGAGGCCAAGGCAGGTGGATCACTTGAGCCTAGGAGTTCGAGACCAGCCTGGGCAACATAGTGAGACCCTGTCTCCTAAAAATAGCAAAAAATTAGCTGGACATAGTGGCACGAGCCTGTAGTCCAGCTACTTGGGAGGCCGAGGTGGGAGGATCACTTGAGCCTGGGAGGTTGAGGCTCATCGTGCCATTGTACTCCAACCTGGGTGATGGGAGTAAGTTACACCCTGTCTCAAAAAAAAAAAAAAAAAAAAAGTCTGTCTTACAGTTGGAGTGAAATCTACCCAGGAATGATTTCACATCATGCATCTTTTGGATGGTTCACTGAGTTATGTGTTAGGCACAGTTCTCCAGAGGAGAAACACAACCAATAGGATACATGTAGATACATAAGAGGAAATTTATTATGGAAATTGGCTCACATTGTTACCAGGGCGGCAAGTCCGGTTGGGATCCACAGTCCTCAGTTCTTGTCTTCTTGGAAGAAAGAATTCAGCCAAGACAGAAGTAGATTCAAGGCAGGAGTGAAGGTTTTTTGAAGTAACGTTCACTTGGAAGGGACCAAATGGACAACTTGAAATATTGAATGCCCCTATTTCCTGATCCTTCCTGGTCTCCTCTCATCCTTCTCCTTGGGTGGGCTGCTGGCTCATTGCCTCATGTGCAGTGACTTGCCAGTATCTGAAAGGGTCCACGGCTGCCATTTGGTGTTTGGAGTTCTGTGCATGCTTGCGTAGGGCAATTTTCCCTTACTGGCCTACTGCTCCCAGAGGAGGGTCATGTACTGGTCACACTCCACCATTTTGCTCCTTACTGCACATTCCTGGACGTATTTGCTCAATTCCTAGGATCTTATCAGGAAGTTGTTGCCCATAAGCCCAAGATGTTTCCTGTTAGGAAATTTTCCCCTCCCTGGTGCCAGCTGCAACCAGTTATCATTCCTGAAAAGGCCACCTGGACATTCCTTGGGGCCTGTCCTGCCCCACTCACACCTGCCTGTCTACCTACTCTAACAGCGTGATTATGGAGGCCAAGAATTCCCAGACACACCATCTGCAAGCTGGGGAACCAGAAAGCCTGTGGTGTAATTCAGTCTGAGTCTGAAGGGCTGAGAGCCAGGAGGGCCCATGGTGGAACTCCCAGTCCAGGGCTTTAAAGGCCTGAGAATGGTGAAGGGTTGTGGGACAGGCAGCACTGGGGTAAGTCCCAGAATCAGGGGCTGCGGTATCTGAGGGCAGGAGATGGGTGTCCCAGCTCAAGAAAAGAGGGATTGGAGGATGCCCGTCCACATTGGTGAGGATGGATCCTCTTTAATCAGTCTACTGATTGAAATGCTCATGTCCTCCAGAAACACCCTCATGACACACCCAGAAATCATGCTTTACCAGCTATATGGGCATCTCTTAACCTAATCTAGTTGACACATACAATTAACCATCACAGCCACCTTCAGGCTGAATAAGTCTCTAGAAGAACTCAGAACTCAATGAAAGCTGTTATGCTCATGGTTATGGTTTGCAACAGCAAAAGGATATAGATTAAAATCAGCCAAGGGAAGAGACACAATAGGACAAAGTTCAGGAAGTTCCAAGCACAGAGCTTCCAGCTGTCCTCTCCCAGTGGAGTCATCAACAGTGCTAAATTCTCCCAGCAGCAATGTGTGACAATAGACAGAATATTGGCAAGCAGGGAATCTCAGCTAGACTCTGATGTCCAAAGGTTTTATTGGGGCTCTGCCATGTGGACATAGTCAACTGCCTGCATAGCTGACCTTAGCTTCCAGCACCTCCAGGTTGGCCTGTCACTGCATGACCCAAAGCCCCCACTATAAATCATTCTTGTGTAGCCCAAGGTTCCCTTGTAAACAGACACTATTTTTTGGTGGGGGGTGGTAGGGGACAGGGTCTTGCTCTGTTGCCCAGGCTGGAGTGCAGTGGCACAATCTTGGTTCACTGCAGCCTCGACCTCCAGGACTCAAGCGATTCTTCTCTGTCAGTCTTCTTGAGTAGCTGGGACTACAGGCGTATGCCACCATGCCCAGCCAATTTTTGTATTTTTTGTAGAGACAGCATTTCGCCATGTTTCCCAGGCTGGTCTTAAACTCCTGGGCTCAAGCGATCCTCCCACCTTGGCCTCCTGAAGTACTAGGATTACAGGCGCGAGCCACTGTGCCCTGCCCAAAGACACTTATCAGGCAAGACATTCCAAGGGTTTACAATTACCGCTCAGGAGCCAAGGACAAAAACCAGACCTCCCTTTGGGCAAGGTTAAATTGTTCACTACACAGTATGTTTCTCATGTCATCACAAAGAATATTTTTTAAATATTTTTTACAGTGTACTCAAGGGTCATGATTTAGTAAAACCAGTCTTTTTTTTTTTTTTTTTTTTTTTTTACTTCATCAAAGACATTCTTACATAAAACTGGTTTTGTTTGTTCTGCTTGAGTGCAGGTAGTGCTTGGCGATGTGTGCTAATACATTTCCACACCACTGCCTTGATTACGCTAGCTGTCAGCAGGTACCCACTATTGCTTTTACGACCTTAGTGTCAAACTAGGCAAATAACATCTTAATTTTTACTTTTTCTGTTTACGAAAATAGTTTCGGCCACGGTTATGCCCTCAGAACCTCTGCTCTAGCTAAGCACCCTATATCTTTACCTTGTTTTATGACATAAAGCAAGAGGACCGAGACTGTACATTCTTTGAGGGTAGGTTGCCATCTTCATCTTTGTGGTCAACATTTTACCTAGCACAGTGCTTCATATGCAACAGAAATTCAACGAACGCCTGTTAAATGAATGTATAGAACTTTTAATCACTTCAGGAAGTCTTTCCACAACTTGATTTGGTTTTAAAAAAATGCAAATAAAAGGTGACTTTTTCTTCCCATTTGTGATAGATTTTTTTTCTTTTGTCATATAGAAGCGTTGTCAAATCTGTGCTGATTCCCAAGAAACTGGAGAATCAGTTTTGATTCCCTGGAGAATCAGTTTTGTCTCCCTTGTGACAGTTAAATCCTTCACCGAGGTTGCCGCCTGTGATCCTAATGACTTCTGTCATGGTGCAGACACTCCTCCTCCAGACTAGGGTGACAGACTCCAGCCCTCTCCACGTATAGTTTTACTCTCCTCACATCTGTTCCCTGGTAACCACCAAGATGGTCTGTTTGAAATGTGGATAGGCCGGGCACGGTGGCTGTATCCCATCAGACTGGGAGGCCGGTGGGGGTGGATCATTTGAGGTCAGGAGTTTGAAACCAGCCTGGCCAACATGGTGAAACCCTGTCTCTACTAAAAATACAAAAATTAGCCAGCCGTGGTGGTGGGTGCCTGTAATCCCAGCTACTCAGGAGGCTGAGGCAGGAGAATCACTTGAGCCCAGAAGGCAGAGGTTACAGTGAGCAGAGATCGCACCACTGAACTCCAGCCTGGGCAACAGGACAAGACTCTGCCTCAAAAAAAAAACAAAAAACGGATAATAAGCCAGGTACTCTTTTCACATATTTAATCCTCATCATCCTTACGAGGGAGGGTGCTGTTTGTTATCCTTACTTTACAGATGAGAGGCCTGAGGACCTCTGTGACCTAGCAGGTCTGGCTCTGGGGTCCCAGATGTCTCCTCTTAACTATGTGCTAAATACTTCTCACTGCTTAGTGTCACACCTGTTGGCTGTTGTCTACAAGCCAAAGATAAGCTCCCAAACATGACATCTGAGCCCTTCCATGCTCTGACTTCTGCTCTTAGGGCTTCCCTGTGTCCTGCCTGTTTGGTGCTGCTACAGTCTCTAGGAGTTCAAATCTGCACACAGCGTCCCTGTGCACAGTGCTGTTTATAGCCTCTGCACTGCGGCTGCTCCTGTCCCTGCTAGCAGGTCTCCTAGGCCTGCCTGTACCCCTTTCACCTGGCAGAGTCTTACTTAGGAGAGAGCTCAGGTGGTGACTGCTCAAGGAAGTTCTCCTCCACCTCTCTCCTTTGTCCCCTTCCCCAGTGAAATGAAGAGCTCACAATGAGTGGGGCAGACAGATGAAGGCAGGTAACTGTAACAAGTGTGGTAAGAATTACAATGTGAGAGTTAATTATAAGGAAGGTAAAAATTTTTCCATAGCAGTTTGTCCTATATCCTAAACTAGACTATCCATTCCTTTGAGGGTACAGACTCATACTGTCAGTATTTGGTAGATAAACAAAAAGTAAAATATCTGAAAAATAAGTAAACACAGCATTTCTCCTAGATTTCCTATTTCATATTTTCTTCCAAATCCACAAAATTATGAAACATTTTTTTTGAGATGGGGCCTCACCCTGTCACCCAGGCTGCAGCCTCTGCCTCTTGGGCTCAAGTGATCTTCCCACCTCAGCCTCCTGAGTCGCCGGGATTACCGTGTGTGCCACCATGCCCAGCTAATTTTTGTATTTTTTTATAGAGTCGGTTTCACCATGTTGCCCAGGCTGGTCTCAAACTGGACTCAAGCGATCTGCCCACCTTGGCCTCCCAAAGTGTTGGGATTACAGGTGTGAACCACAGCACCCAGCCTAAAGTTTTGAAATCTTACAGACTTTCGGAAAATGGTATAAATACAGATGTGTAGGGTTTTCTATTTTTAAATAATGAGTTTTCCTTCTCTCTTTTCTTTTGTAAGCTCCTTGCCCGACTTGAAGGTAGAAGTTCCTTGAAAGAAATAGAACCACATCTGTTTGCTGATGAAGATTCACCTGTGCATGGTAAAAATACAACCTTTATAAAAATATAAATGCAAACAAAGCTTTATAAAAGGATTTTTCACATCAGCTCACATGTACACACGTATTCCTGCAAGAGGTTATACAGGTTAAACTGTCCAATTGAAAACTGAGACACAGGTTGTGACAGGAAGCTTTTAAGCTTTCCTCACCGGTGTCAGACAAGATAAGTTTGCTTCTCTGCAGTAAATCTTCATAGTCTGCCTTGACCTCTGTCTTATTCCCAACACACAATATTTATAGTTTATTTTGAAATTATTTTTCTTTAGAAGTTTGCGGAGTTACAGGGAAGTCCTTAGGTACCCAATTGTTCTCTTAGTATTTCTACAGCAGGGAAAACTTACGAAGGGCGTGTGCTTAGGTTGATTTTTTTTCTTTTTATGTAGCGGCTTCATAGAGATAAAATTCACCCACTTAAGTGTGCAGTTAAGTGATTTTTAGTATATTACACAGTTGTGCAACCATTACCACAACTGATTTTAGAGCATTTTATCTCCTCATAAAGAAGCTCATTTCTAATCATTGTCATCTCCCATGTTCCCCAGCTCTAGGCAACTACTAGTCTACTTTCTAACTATAGATTTGCCTTTTCTGGATGTTTCCTATAACTGGAATCATGTAATATGTGATCTTCTGTGACTGGCCTCTTTTACTTTGAATAATTTGCATTGTATAATTCATTGTCACCACATCATAACACATACTAGTAGTTCACTTTTTGTTAAATATTTCATTGCATGGGTATGCATGTTGCTTATCCGTTTGTTAGTGGATGGACATTTGGGTTGTTTCATTTGCTGGCTGTTATGCATAATGCTGCTGTGGTTATCTGTGTACGTGTTTTTCTGTGGATAGATGTTTTCAGTTCTATCGGGTAATACCTAGCATAGGCGTTGCTAGGTCATATGGCAATTCTACATTTAACCTTTTGAGAAACTGCCAGACTGTTTTCCAGAGGAGCTTCACATTTTATTTGCACCGTCATTGCATTGCCAGCAATGCAATGATGGTTCCAGTTCCCATATTCTGGGAATACTCGTTATTGTCTGTCTTTCTGATAATAGCCATCCTAGTCAGTAGGAGGTGTTAGCTCTGTGTGGTTTTTGACTTACATTTTCCTCATGGCCAGTGATGTTGAGTATCTGCACAGGCTTATTGGCAAATTGTGTATCTTTGGAGAAACGTTTGCTCATTTAAAAAAATGAGCAAACGTTTTTTCATTTTTCGTTTGCTCATTTAAAAAATCAGGTTATAGCCAAGCACGGTGGCTCACGCCTGTAATCCCAGCACTTTTGGGAGGCTGAGGCAGGCGGATCACAAGGTCAGGAGTTCGAGACCAGCCTGGCCAAGAGACCAGCCTGGCCAATATGGTGAAACCCCATCTCTACTAAAAATGAAGTTTCCAACTGTTATGGTTGAATTGTCTGTTTCTCTCCTGAGTTTTATCATTTTTTACTTTTGTATTTTGGGGCTTCATGTATTGTTAAGCACACATAACTTTGTATTTTGTCTTATTGCTGGTTGACCCATTTATCATGATAAAATGTTCTTCTTCGTCACCTCACATCCATTAGGAAGGCTACTATCAAAAAAACAGGAAATAGCAAGTGTTAGCAAGGATGTGGAGAAATTGTAACCCTTTTGCACTGTCGGTAAGATTGTAAAACAGTGCGACCATTATGGAAAATAGTATGGAGGTTCCTCAAACAATTAAAAATAGAGCTACTGTATGAGCCCATAATCTCTCTCACCTGTGGGTATTCATCCAAAAAAATCGAAAGCAGGATCTTGGAGAAATATTTGTACACTCTTGTTTATAGCAACACTATTCACAATAGCTAAGAGGTAAAACCAACCTAAATGTCCATCAGTATACTCATGGAAAAGTATCCATCAGTGGTTGAGTGGTATATGCAAAATGTGATATATACATGCAATTGATATATTATTCGGCCTTACAGAAGAAGGAAATTCTGTCACTTGCTACAACATGGATGAACCTTGAGGACATTGTGCTAAATGAAATAGGCCAGACAAAAAGACAAACTGCTTGATTCCACTTACATGTAGTTTCTAAGGTAGTTAAGGTAGTTAAATTCACAGAAAAGAAAGTAAAATGGTAGTTATCAGGAGCTGGGGAGGTGGAGGAAGTGAGTCATTGTTTAATGGATGCAAAATGTGAGTTTTGCAAGATGGAAAAGTTGTGGAGTTCTGCTTCATTGCTTCACAGCAATGTGAATGTACTTCACACCGCTGAGCTGTACACTTCTAAATGGTTAAAGTACAGGCTGGGCACGGTGGCTCATGCCTGTAATCCCAACACTTTGGGAGGCCGAGGTAGGTGGATCACCTGAGGTCTGGAGTTGGAGACCAGCCTGGCCAACATGGTGAAACCCTGTCTCTACTAAAAATAGAAAAAATTAGCCGGGCGTGGTGGCGGGTGCCTGTAATACCAGCTACTTGGGAGGCTGAGGCAGGAGAATAGCGTGAACCCGGGAGGGATTCTGTGAGCTTGCAGTGAGCTGAGATCGTGCCACTGCACTCCAGCCTGGGTGACAGAGCAAGACTCTGCCTCAAAAAAAAAAAAAAAAGAAAAATTACCCAGGTATGGTGGCTTATGCCTGTAATCCCAGCTATTCGAGAGGTCAAGACAGGAGAATCGCTTGGACCTGGGAGGCAGAGGTTGTAGTGAGCCGAGATTGTGCCATTTCACTCCCGCCTGGGTGACAGAGCAAGACTGTCTCAAAAAGAAAAAAAAAAACAAAACCAAAGACAAAAAGCTTATGATTGTCATTTTGCTGTTTTTTATATATGTCTTATGTCTTTTCTGTTTCTTTCTCCTTTACTGTTTTCTTTTGTGTTATTTTCTAGTGTACCATTTTAATTCCCTTGTCATTATTTTCACTATATTTTTCTGAATTATTTTTCTAGTGATTGCCCTGGGATTACAAGTAACATCATAATTTCTAACAATCTAGTTTGGATTAATACAAACTTAATTTCCATATTTTGTAAAAAGCTTTGTTTACTGTGTAGCTATTCCCTACATGATTATACATCGTCTGGTCATCAGCACATTTAATATTATTACTGAATTAAAATAATTAAAATGATTACTTAAGAATACTTTCTGTCCAGGTGCGGTGGCTCACACCTGTAATCCAGCACTTTGGGAGGCTGAGGTGTGTGGATCACCTGAGGTCAGAAGTTCAAGGCCAGCCTGGCCAACATGGTGAAACCTCATCTCTAAAAAATTAGCCGGGCATGATAGCGGGTGCCTGTAATCCCAGCTACTCGGGAGGCTGAGACAGGAGAACTGCTTGAACCCAAGAGGCAGAGGTTGCAGTGAGCTGAGATTTCACCACTGCACTCCAACCTGGGCAACAGAGCAAGACTCTGTCACAAAAACAACTTCCTTCTTAAATCAGATAGATGAAAAAATAGTTACAAATATAAAAACACATTTATACTATCTTTTTTTTTTTTTTTTTTTAGATGGAGCCTCACTCTGTTGCCCAGCCTGGAGTGCAGTGGTGTGATCTCGGCTCACTGCAACCTCCACCTCCTGGGTTCAAGTGATTCTCCTGCCTCAGCCTCCCCAGTACCTGGGACTACAGGTGTGTGCCACCGCACCTGGCTAATTTTTTATTTTTAGTAGAGATGGGGTTTCACTATGTTGGCCAGGCTGGTCTCAAACTCCTGACCTCAGGTGATCCACCCGCCTTGGCCTCCCAAAGTGTTGGGATTACAGACATGAGCCACCACACCCGGCCTGTACTGTCTTTTATATTTACATAGATAGTTACATTTCCCTATGCTTTT